GCAAACCATACTTTAGAGATGATATTTCTGTAAGACTCAATGCACGGAACTCGAAGTATGTCTCCATACTTGGTAGCCTCTTCTTCCACTGCGCTGTCTTGTTTGGGGTCTCCTGTTATTCCTAGCATAAACACRACATGAGACGTGAAGTTCGTAGCATTCATGCTTTCTTGAATTAGTAGAGTTTGAGCAGGCTTCGCCCAAGTATTWCGAATGAGTTCTCTCCTCTCGAGAGATTTAGGAACCGTCGTTACCAAAACGAGCAGAAATATATCTCCTTTGCCTTGAWCAATGGCTGGTATAATAATCTTGCTGGCAAGAGAACAGTTTGRAAKTTTTTCCTCTTCAGTTGACATATTTGCTGTAGTGAGGATAACTGGAGGTTTATAGGTATTGCGAGTGAGTTCCTTTTCATATTCATTCAACCCACTAAGCTTTCGATCCTCGGTCTTAACTATCTCGGAGTCATTTCYCCCCAAACTTGTCCACACATTACGAAAACGATTACCCAATATCCAGTCTTTGTTTTTGACGAGAAAAAGCAGAATGAATGCCTGCAGAACGWTTAAARTAAGTAAAATTAAGAAAAYGACTTTTTTATGTGGCATTTCTATACAATTTCAAGTTACTTGTTGTMACRATGAGGAATGTCGGCCTGTCAGCGCGCTCAATCATTGAAGGCTAGAAAATGATCCCCCCATGCTCTCGACCAATCAGTGCCCAGTAAAGTAGAGCTCTCTATATATCCCATAAACAAACTTACAGGTACGTGTCAAGTGCGTGCTTACCACTATGTTCGTAATTCACGCTAGCGCCAGTTCAAATCGCATTGGAAATTTGGCGATTCTCCGTTCCGTCAATCAAATCGTTCGGATTTATGTAAGTGGGATGTTTAAATGAAAATTTAAGAAATTTGTCCTTATTTAGGAAATTGAGACTGAAGTACAGCTGCTTTATTGTTTATCGGTTTATCGGCTAGTTCTTATAATTGATATCATGATATCTCAGAATCCAAGTATTACTCTTTTATTTGTTGTAGGACCTAGCCATTTGAAGTTCAACGCTGAGAACGTACAGTGTTTGCAAAGGTGAGAATTTTGGAAGTCTTTGTTCATTCTTTTTGTGATATTTTATTTTACCTGTGTGACACTTTCTAAAACTGTTTTTCACGAAATTGTGAATCACTCTGTTATAAATACGAGTGAAATGACTGAAAAACAAACAAGCATGTCGTACTGCCAAACACAAAGTGACAAGCAAGTTTGCTAAGTGTCAAATATCATCCCCTAAAGCAACCACATATTTGAATGGGAGAATTTATTTCAGAATGGCCAATCACATTTTCATTCTGGACCAGATATAAAATGTAATATTTATTATAGTTATACTGTTTGCACAGATTAGTATTGGGAGTTACCATGGTGACAACATGATTTATCAAGTATGTACCGCCATTATTGTTATCCAATAAAATATTTGTTTAACTTTGTATTGTTTTATTAACCTTTAGTTACCAAATGAACGTTATTTCCAATCCTTTGATCAAACAAACACAATAGAAAAGAAAATAACAAGACCCTGYTGGCAGCGTAGACCGGTCTCTAAGAATTTAAAGAAGAAGTGACAATAAGTTGCAAAAAAGGCAGAGCGTTTAAGCCATACTGATTAGTCTGATGTGTCCTCGAATAACTCAATCTGGATCTCCAATACGTCCAACAGACCATTTTCTCAAGGTTGCGTGCGCATCCAACTTGACGGGCCACAAAACTGAAAAACGCAAATTCAGTAAAATTGAGAAGTCAGTTTTATATATAAAGAAGAATAATCAATTTTATGAATTCTTATTGAAAAAAAAACTATAGCAATGCATGATAATACGCGCATTCTGGTATCGTGGCCCGTCTGAGTTTCTTCAATTTGGATGCTCACGCGACATTGTGAAAACGGTCATTATTTTGGCATACGTAATTAGGCTGTCGCGACGAAGTGTCACGGACATGCACAATCGCACCACAGGAAGCCCAATCTCATATAACAGGACGATTTATAAGGCAATGTATGGGAAATTACTCTTTAGCTTATAACTCTGTGAAAAATAAAGAAAATAAATCCAAACCTTCATGTGGTGTTCCTTGTGTTTTTATTGTTGTCTGGTAGCGATTTCAGGACGATTTGGTGGATTTTAGCTGAGTTCTCCCCTCACTACTAAGAAGAAGGCTGTTAATTTTGGAAATCTCGCTGGATTTATTCCTTGAGGGGATCATTTTAATGTGAAATTTGTGGATTAACGGGAAGGGCAACTATCTGGCTTTCGTGTTGTGGAGTATCGA